AGCTAGTCGGCTTTGGCTCTCAGAGGGCTGTTACGCCACGGATATTTTTTTGTGTTACTACAGTGTAATTGCAATGGCATCTAAGGGTAGTAGCGATAAAAAGAGAAGCCCGTAAGCCTCTTACTTTAAATGCCAAGTTAGAGATGATTACACTTCGTGAACAATGCAAGTCTATGGCCGAGACATATGTTAGTGTAAACATCTTATTAGGCTTTGATATGCATTTGCAATTGAAAAACGGCAAAGATCCGCTTTTTGGCGATTTTCGCTTTTCGGCGGGGGTCTGGTCCCTAACCTGCCGTATATGCAGTGCCCTACTGTACTAAGCCCACAAACTGATTTCTTCATGCCTTTCATTTTATCATCAGAATAAATGTCTGCTTTCCCCACATCAGTGACTGGACACCCACCACCTGACAATAAATACAGTGCACAAACAAGAGAATATCAAATATGACAATGACAGAAAATTCACATATCTCCAAAATATTTTATGAATACTGTAGGTGCTTGGGGGGGGGGGGGCGCGCGTTATAGCTCCAACTCATTCTTAACCTCGGTACTAGATGGGGGGTGAGTGGTTAGCGTCATGCCCCGGTAGTGCTTTACACCCAGGAAAGAACCCCGATACCCACTGGACAGGAGGCTGGGTGGGCCCCAGAGCCGGTCTGGACAGAGGCGCTGGAGGAAAAATCCTACAGATCCGAAGGAAACAGCCATCTAGGGTTTCCATGGAATAAAGGCTTGCAAATGGTCCTCATCCTGAATCACACGAATCCAATCCACCTACCAACTCCAATTCCCTATGATCGACTTCAATACTGACATTCCATCTATGCCCAGCCTTCAGCTCCAACACATTAAGTTAAATAGCAAGTCGACTAATATTCAGAGCAAAAAAAGTTCAATTTATTTATTTGTTTCCCCTCGATCTCAGCCAGTGAGCATGCTCGGGTCTTCAACATCAATTTGTAAACCTGACTCTTAAAACAGTATTTTAATCGATCCTTTTTCCGCCCTTGAAGAGTAAAAAACGTCTTCATTCAACCAAATGCAGTTTTGAAGCAGATTCAAAATAAAGCATTCTATCAAGAGAGCAAAGGGAACCATTTCTGTTGCGTTAACACAATTGCAAATTCCCTCCCCCTGTTTTCTGACAGTCGATAAAAAGCGTGAGTTGGGCACGTGATGGGGGCGGCGGTTCACGCGATTCGCTCGTATTTCACGTCTCCGTACCTAACACACACTTCCGGTACCGGGGCCCCAATCAATACTATTTGTTTTAACTGCAGCTGTCATGTCACATTGCAGTCCACTTCCACGACCGCAACCGACTATTTCTACAAACACGATGACTCCTTCCTTCTTGGTTTTCCCGTCCCTTTAGGAAGACAACGGAATATTACCTTAAAATAAGCCACGGCTGCCTACTTCTACATTTACCAATAATTAATTGTCAATCACCATATAATTCGACGCTGAAAATACATCGCTAAACAGCAAAATAATTAGCTCTTATTATGAACCAGCATCTGTCGTCCACAACCTGTATCTGTATTTTTTTTCGTTTGTATCTCCCGAGTGAACTCTTAGCTGAGGGGTTTCCGACAAAAATGTTGCACGTATTTCTCACATCCTCTACGCGGATTACATGTTTTGGTCGATGGCATGGACTCCTACTAAACTGAGAGTGTGATTCGCTACTTCCACTCTTACTAATTTCAACCTCCTGCTGTTCCAGTTGCTTACTGTAGCGATATTTATGAGGCTTCTACACAACTTGCTTGTTTCCTGTTTCACGGATCCTGAGGCAAAAAAGCGGAGTAAGACGTGCGGTGGCAGCGGCTCCGTGATACAGTACCCTAATTCTTTGTGCGTCTTCACCGATCTAGATTACCGGCCGCAGAAGCTTCATTAGCAAATGTGGCCCCCTCGTGTTCGGCGTACCGTAAACACGGGGAACGAACGATGTCTGACAACACGGCTTCACAACACAACTCTGTTCTTCATGTTCGTTCAATACAGATACAATGCGCTGCTAGAGACCTGGATAAGGTTGGCCTCAATTCCCGGCAGGGACAGACTTTCCCTCTGCGTCCAGATCGACCCCGAGGCCCAACCAGTCTCATATCCAACGTGCACCTCTCCCTCGGGGGGTAAAGCGGCCGTAGCGTGTTGCAGACCACTCACATCCTTCTAGTGTCAAGGTTTACTTCAGAGTGAGTCCTCCGAACTTCACCGCGCCGCCGCCAACACGCCATCATGGCACGAGACTCAATGACACACGAGTTCAATTTTACCTTTTTGCTTTATAAATATATTCTTGTAAAGTTAATCACATTTCATATATCAATCAGTCAAAAATTATATCCTCGTACTTCATTAATTATTCACCACAGACCTATCGAAAAGTGAAATACTACAAAAATTCTGTGTGAGTTTCTTGTTTCATACATCCGAACCTATCACAATCCTGATTCACTAATTAAGTACCAGCTCATGCGCTCTCGTTTCTGCATTCTGATTAATGAGGCTTATTTATGGTTATCTAAGCATTCAACGATGCTGTTTCAACTGCAATGTTATATGCAGTCAAATAAGATGGGAAGATCCTGAAATGTCAGTGAGAATTTCGGGGGGAAAAGGCAGTGACTGCCAACTAAACTTGTCAGAACATATTTTATTTAATTCTTTGTGATTTATTTAACGACGACTGTTAGTCACAGTCCGGATAGGATCTTCCTCGGTGACAAAATCGTGACCGCCATTACCCCCACACACGAATTTCATTAAAACTGTCTTAATGCCGGCTGTAACTCACAGGCTCCGACTGTGGAAGTGCTTGTGAAAATACGTAACTCATTTAACAACGCATCAATTTGTCACGAGACTGACAGAGCAGTGACGGTTCGAATGTAGGCCGATTTACTCGACAACCCAAGACAAGTTTCCGGTGGTTTTCCTCAGTCTAACCAGGCACATTCCGAGGCAGCAGTAACGCGAAGAACGAAAACGGCCGCCGGCCATTCCTTACATAATTAACATTCATGGATACCGTCCAGTCTCAATGAGCTTAGCCCCTGTAATATGGGCTTCCACTGCGCGTACAACTCCGCGAAATACCTGTCGCGTTTAATGACGCATTACCGATCTGACGACAAAGTAAAAGCACCTGTTCACAAACGGGTCTTGATAATGCCTGTACCCCAGAAACGAAGGCATCCATGCTCGAGAAAATACGCAGTCTGCGAAGTAAAAGTACCTGGTGATAGCTTCTGAGGAGGTGGTTTACAATTTCCCATACATCCATAGTTCTGCCATCGGCATTCACACAATTTGCCAACCAACAGTTTCGCGAATCGGCCTCGGCATGGCTAATCATTGAGGACACTTGTCACCACTGACAGCTATCTCACGTATATGTGGGGTCCAGTGTTCGGTCATTTCGGGCCACACACAGATGTCACTATGACACAACACCACAAAACACAAAAGTGGTCACCAGTTTTCACACCACTGAGGGCCTGCACTCGCTTCATGTCTGGGCGCGTACTTGAGATGCCAGGCGACCGGCCGGTCTGTCGGCCATCAAACTCGGTAGAACAGGTTATACCGGCAAGGCAGGCACTCCATCATCAGACCGACACGTCATTGCGACGCGGGAAAATCTCGCCGAGTGACAAAGATCTCGCATCAATATTACTCACGCACGTACGCACGAAAAACAAAGGTATACCGGGGGGTGGATTCGGAGGGGTGTGTGTAATGTTTCATCGAGGTAATGGTTTTGCAATTGGTATGTGTGTATGATTCATATTTTAACGCCATCCCCCGAACTTAGGTCAGCAAGGAGGGCAGCAGTTTGAAACATCTAGACCAGTTTCTCAATCGAGCCGCAAATTCTAGTTCTGGTAATAAAAAGCAAAATTATCCGTCTAGGCGCCTCGTCATGAGAACGCATAGACAGCGAAGAAGTATTTTTAACCCAGGCAATAGTTGGTGGTAAGTGATCAGACCACTTTACACCTCGAAATAGACAAAAAAAATCTCCCGACACTTAATGGGCAGGAAACTGTCCTTCGTACCGGCGAACCAAATTCTGCGTTGCATTACGTTACACCAATATATATATATCGAAGCTGGGAAACGTTACTATATTACATCTCGGCTTCCTTAGCTTTCGTCTGCCGACTAGTTTGTCACGACGTACCCCCAGGCAGTCTAGTGAACACGGTTATGGGATGGAAGACCGGGGTCCAGTTTCTAAAAGGGGCGACAGCGCCCAGACTGGCTCTGGGGCACACGCGGTCCCCTGAGTCACGTGCACCAAGGGATTCTCTTACAGGGTGCAAAGCAGCCGGAGCGTGAAACTCGTAACTCACCGCGGTTAAAGAATTCGTAAAGCTCTAC